GATAGATAGATAGATAGATAGATAGATAGATAGATAGATAGATAGATAGATAGATAGATAGATAGATAAACATATATATTCCATGTTTTCCAAATAAATCAAAATGAAATCAAAGCAGATTAATAATAGTAATGCTGTTATATATAGAGTTGGCACATGTGAGCTGCAGCTGGAAAGAAAACCATACCATTCCAAGAGGCAGGATTTCCTGAAATGTAGCCAATCACAGGCTTTTCACTTAAAATGACAAAAGCTGACATGAGCCCAAGGAAACAGGTTCACACGCGAAAAGGAGAGAAACTGCAGCAGCATAAAAAGCAGGAGAACACAGAAAAGGAGCATGGACTCATAGTTGTAAATAATTGGGGGTCTTATGGTGTTGAATCTGCACATATAAAATCAAAATGCACATAGAGAGTGGCCTACATGTTTGTTTTCAAATAGAACTGCACATAAGAGTAATGTGTATGTGCCCTTTGGCAGAATTCTGTCCAAATGAATGAGACAAAAGTTCATCATTGCGCTAACAAAAGAGCTACTTTCAGTTCTGGAAACTCAGATCTAGCACATTAAAACTGTGATCCTATTTTAATATGATTTAAGCTAAAATTTCTTAAATCATTGAAGGTATTGTGGAGGATCTCTGCGAATTTTTGAAAAAACCCGCCCTCTCCACTTAAAAAAAAATACACATGCCCAACCCTGTACCTGCTCCCCCTAGGGAACGCCTGTTAAACTCGTACGAGAGCGTGCACAAGCCCATTTCTTCTCATTCCCGCTCTGTTTAAAAGTTGCTGTTTGTATCGCTCACACAAGCTTACTTTCCAAAAAAAGGTTTTTTAATTTTTCCACTATGTCAGACTCACCACTGTTTAGTGAAAGTGGAGACGAACATGTAGGACGGCCTTATGTGAACATGTCACCAGAAAGATTGAAAATTAGAAGGACCGCTTATTTTGATGATCCACACGGAAAAAGAATATCCTCTACTACACCTTTAATAAAATAATACTGTTCAAGGGATTTATCATTTGTGCTCTCTGATTCAGTACATCATAATTTCATAATTCATAATTTATTTTTTATTAAAAAAAATTGCAATATGGCTTTTGGACTGGGGCCAGGACCAGTTCTTTGAGGGCCCCGGCTCCCATTGGCCCCTGTCTAGAACCGCCCATGCAACAGTGTTAAAGGCTAGGTTGACACTGTGGGCGAGTAGTAGCCTAAATCTG